TAGGGCTTCCGGACAAGGTTGGCCTGAAGAATGTAAAGCATCTAATATACATATTTCAAGGTCGAGATTTGTGAGGAAGGAATTATGCAGAAGATGGAATGTTTACTTTAAATACACTGTCCTCACCAGAGGCCTGTAAATTCATTTTGGGGAGTTGTGCTGTGGCTTCATTCTTGCCCAGCTTGCCAAGCCAGCTATTGTGTCTGCAAGCTCCGGGTGCAGTGGGCTAGCCATTCCAAATTCAGTACAGGAGGCCTCTGGGTGGCCCCATTCTGCTCTTTGTGTTCTGACCACCACCCCACACCCCAGAAGCCCTGCTAAAATGCTTCAGATTCCTTTCTTCATGGAAAATTGGAATAAACTGACCCTTACGTCTCTTTTTAACTGTGCCCTTCCCGCCCACCAGTTGTTTGAGATGCTCATTTCTCTCACACTCCTATCATGTCTCATTTTCTACCCAGATCTTATCTAACCTTCATGTTGTCATTTTTTACTTGGCGGTCCTTTCATGACATGCCATCGGTCTAGAGGATATGGATGTGATCAAATGAAGTACCTTCTAAAATCATAGTTTAGTTAGTAAGGAGAGAAGTATGTTCCCTGTTGGCCAAACTGTTTTATCTTCATTTTTGTTCTTATAAACAGACTCCTTAAAATAGGATGTGGCAAAGTATGATAGTAGAATAAAATGTCTTTATTAGACCAGCTTGTTCAGTGAAATTCAATGTCTTTTTCTCTTAGGGAACTTTAGCTTGGACAATAAGTGGCAGCTATTTATATATTCATTTATTTAAGTTATGCATATATATGTATAGTTACACACATATTTGGTGTTATTTTCCCAAGCCCTCTCTATTTAAGTAATATTTTTTCTGCTTATGGTAATGTATGTGCATGTGTTCTTGTATGTGTGCTTGCCTGTGTGTGTGAGGCCAGAGGTCATCCTTGGCTGTTGTGATACTATAATTTTGGAATTAGATAGGGTCTAGATGACCAGCATTACCTAGGGAATCTGCCTGTCCCTACATCCCTAGCTCAGGCATGCTACCATCCCTGGCTCTTCTTACATATTTTCTGGGCACTGACTTCAGGATCTCAAGCATGTCCAGCAAGCACTTTACTGACTGAGGCATTTCCCCAAGCCATCTCTATTTTAATTTAATTTAATTATATTCAGTTTTATATTGTGTTCATGTTTGACTATATATCCATAGAAATGATCAGAAATACTCTCTTTTCTCTTGGCCTTGGTCTGATACTTTTGTTTTTGGTTTGGGTTTATCTACATGTTCTTGTCTTAAACATTCATCAAATATAATTTCCTAGTATACTTATTAATTATCTGATATACAGTGATAACAATCTGGGCCATTGTTCCACGCTTTGTGTTCATGAAAAGGTGGACTCATAAAATACTTCTGTTCTTCTGGTCTAAGCCCATGGAGGAGAACTAAGCTGGACTGTGCAGTGAAGGGCTGTAACAAAGGATGGCTGCTTCCTGCCGTGAAGAAAAGAAAGGTGGTTAGCATTCTGAGAATGAGTGGGAGTCCAGCAAGGGGAAACATCCACGGGGAGGAAGGAAGGGCATGGAGCCATCTCAAAATACATTCCAAAGAATGGGTTTGATGGTGGGGGTTCCCCGTGCGGCTTCCTCAGCATGGTTACTGTGCTCCAGCCTAATGTACAACACATGCCTTTGCTAGGTCACAGAGGCAGGACTGTTTGCCCAGCACACTGGCCTTATTCCTGTCCTTTTGTTATTTCCTCCCACAATAGCCCATTTTTTTCTCTGATTAGCTCATCTAAGTTTTTGTCCTGTCTGGATTGGATTGGAAAAGTAAAGGCAAATACTATATTTTTTTTAACGTCTTACCTGCTGGAAGATTAGTAATGTCAGCTAACTGAAAAGTCAAAACTATACAGGATACTCTGGTTAGCCCATTTATCCTTTGTGGAACTCAGTCAAGGTTGTATTCCTAGAGGAGCAGCACATCTTCCTGATGCTGATTTCAAAGGGCCATGTACAGTCTGATTTATGTGCTGGTTATAAAACTAATCCCATTACTTCATATAACCCTTCATCCTTCCTCTATCTTTTATGGGCACTTCCTGTGGATGCTCATATAGAGATATCAATTAATTCAATGAAGAAGCTTTCATTATTGATATCCAGATGATTAATTATGTAAGTGACTGTGTGCTGTAATTGTGGAAGAGCGGTCTACACAGGTGCAGCCCGACTTGGCGAGGGAAACAGCATCCGAGGACAAACATTAGCGGAGTCTAATGTGACTTTGAGATAAGCTTCGTCATAGTTCAATAGTTTGCGCTGGCTTCTCCTTGACCATCCACTCAAAGAGACTGTGGTACTGGAGAGGTACCTGAAAACTGACCATCTTACATCTGAGGGCACAAGGCATTCACTGCTATGTGCACTATCAGGACTTTAAAGGAAAAAAATGATGCCCCTTTTCAGACATGATACTAATGGATGAATTTAGGGGGAATTAATTAGATGAATTGTTTTTGACATTTTACCTCTATATTGCCATCATTTCCCAGAACACAAACCAGCTTTCTTGTCTCCAAAGATACAAGAAACACTCTTTTGAGTGACTATGATAGCTGGACTTCACATAACTCTGATCATATGATTCCCATCATGCGTCACTCTGCTGATAAAATATGGCTTATTATAATTATTTACTGTTACCATAAGTATTGTAGCTCTACAAAGTATTTCCATATATTTCCAGTTTTTACTTTGTGCATGCCAGTGTTCCAAGCCCTAACATTAATTTCTGTTTTATTTCTCATAGTAGTCACATCGTGTGCAGGAAGATGCTACTTTCTCCATTTTAAATAGGAGGCATGTGGGCAAATTGCCCAAGGTTAAGTAGGTAGTGAAGTAGGCCTTAAGCTGAGACCCACATCTGCCTCAGAATTCTCAATATTATACTAACTTTGATGTCCTACTAATCATGATGGCACCCTGAAATATTTCATTCTAATTTTTAGTTCTTTGAACAGAACATAAAACTTTTTGATTTTATGGTTTGACAAATCCTTATTTATCACCTTTACCTCCTCTGAAAGCAGAGACCTGTTCCTACCCCTTGATACACCACAGGCCAAGTAAAGTAGCAGGCATAGTAATAAATGTTTGTAGACTATCCATAAAACATTAGCAAGCCTTGTATCTTTAGATTCACATTGCTTTCAGCCTTCGAGAAAGACTGACTTGCATGAATAAAAGTGGCACAAGAAAGGAAATCCCACAACAGAATCAAGAGACTGGTGGGGTACCAGAGGCTTCCGTGAGAATCTGTTACTTCCTTTGAGCATTGTAAAGACGAGGTTGTGAGGATGGCATGGGGAGCCCAAAGCTGCAGAAATGAGACACCAGGACAAGTGTGGAGAGTGAAGCCATTCTCTGTATGTTATTGTGAAAAGGCATAAAGGACCATCAGGACTCCCTTGAACCTAGAACTGGCTGATAGCCTTGTCTCTGCTACCTCCTGTGCCGTCTTTCATTTACCTCTCAAACTCCTCTTGGGTCTCTGAGAATTCTAATGCAGGGAGCAGGATGGGTTGATAGTTTCTTTCAGGTAGAGATTTAGTTTCTTCAAATGCTTTTCATGATCACCTCATAGCATAGCACAGGGCTGGTAAGTGGGGACCCTTGGTAAATATATAATGTGTTATAAATGTATATTGAATAAGTGAAGTATTTAGGTGTTTACTTAAAAGCAATTTGAATTTATGTTTACAGTGAACAACCCCAATAGTTAGTGTCTTTGATAACAATAATAAAAATATAGTGCCTTTTTCTGAACATGCACAAGCTTAACCTTAATGACAGAGCCATCTATAGATGACAGAATTTGATTCTAAGATGTGAAATGATCTGCTCAGGTCTCCACAGTAAAACTGTTGGCAAAGGAGGAACTGAACAAAGTAGGGAATATGGTTCTTACATTGGCTTTCTGCAGGTTGTTCTGTATATTGGGCTGGTCAGATGATCCTACTTTACTGCCATGTGAACGCCACATCTCAACAGGTCTATTGACAAAGTGGAGCTTAGGTTAAGAAGAAATGATGGGGACATCAGGAGTATGTGGAAATTGTGTCACACGACAAACAGAAGAGATAATTAAAAATGTTTCTTGGAGAAGAAAATAATTGTAGAATCCAGGAGTGAATGTGAAAATGTGATTTCTGTCTTTATATTTTAAATACACACCATTGTTTCTTTGCCTTAGAGAGGAACAATAGGAGTCAAGGTGAGAAAAACTGCAGAGAAGTGAGTTATAAATCAGTATGGAGAAGAATTGTTGAACTAACTAGAATGGTACAAGAAGGAAATTGCACATGATGAGAGATGTGTTAGCAGAGGCCAGATGATTCTGTCTGGCTGGATTGTGAGTTCCTGTGGATTGGACACCACGTTTTGTTTGTATTTCTCTAGGGACTATAATAGCACCTAGCATACAGCAAATGCTCACTTAAGGACTCATTATACAAGCTTTAAAAGTAGTTCTTTCATGGGTAGGACAGCATGAGTGTGGGCAGAATGGTATAGAGAATTAACTAACAATTAGGTTTATGATCTTTGATGAAAATTTACATATAGTGCTGCATAAACTTGTAACAAACTCAGCCATGTCATATCTTTGTAAACAAAGGTCAGTAGACTTGTTTCTTTACACCTATACCTCACTAGGAATAGCACATTTTCCTTCTTCTTTTGGAAGAAGGAAGGGCTTATTTGCTACAGCTATATAAGGAATATTAGGGCTTCTTACTTCTCTGTGCTTGTTACACAAATTAAACGTCCACACAGATTACCAGGGATTTGTCATACATAGTTATCAAGAGGGTGAGTCAGAGGAACACTTGAGTGATGCATGTCAATAAAGTCACACTTTTCAAATTTATGAATTAATTTAGAAAAACACATTTTTAGAAGTCCTAAGTCTTACGTAGATTGTCACCTTTATTATATATTAACAAATGCCTTAAATTTCACTTCAAACCCTTATTTTTCATAGAATATTTTATATCCAGAACACTTTCATTTGATATGTTTTTTTTGTTTGTTTGTTTTCTAACAAAGGAGGGGATGCCATTTCTTTTAGTCCATGAAGAAGTCGTTTGAGGAAGACAAAGAAAGCTTTATTTAAATCATCCATATGTGCCACAGGAACTACTCAAAGGTAAATGATAATAAGGAAATTATTTAATTTGGTATTTCATTTTATTCTTTGAGAATTTTCACAGTTGACTTTCCCCAGCTTACGACTGTTCATACCTGTCTGCTTATGTATGACAGGACTGACAAAAGCTCTCAGGAAGGTCCTGAGAGTCTCAGGGATTTTGTTTCTTATGTAGATATGCTTAAAACATATTTCTCCATTGACATAAAACATTGTCTTTTTGTCTTTCGATGTCAAATAACAGTTCTCTTTGGGTTATAAAGCTGCTCATGGGGACATTTGTTTGTTAGTCTAACTTTTTTTCATATAAGATATAAACACAGCAAGGGTCTCCTGAGACACTACGGTTTGGGTTCATACTTACTGACACAGTTACAATCTTCTCCTAGCTGCTATTTCTACTTGCAATAAACAGGACAGGTCTGACCACTGTTTATATACCTAATGAATACCTTACTTGGAACCCTGAGGGTAGATTTAACTGAGTGAGTTATGCTGCTTCCCAGGAAAGACAAGTACCTTCTTTGCATTATATTTTGAGTCATAAAACACTCTCCCTCCCTTCCCCTCTTTTTTAATTTGTATGCCAGAGATTTTTCTGTTCTGGGAATGAAAGTGAAAGACAAGGAAGAAAGTAGATGAAGCAGAGATGATTCAAGGATATGACACATTTTATACTTTCTCAATAGAGTAAATTCTTTTTTTCTTTTCCAATAACCATCATTTCCCTTGATCTTGGAATCACTCAAAACCTAGCTACAGAGTCCTGTGCAAACTAACGTGTTGTCTGAAGATGCACAGAAGGATGAAATAGTACTGTCTGCACAGCCCGTGCTAGTTGGACTGTGCTTACAGATACGAATTACTGCAAATTTAGGAATGCCATTTTATTCTCATCACTGAGTATTTATTATATATAACAAATACATGGGAAAGAAAAAACTATATTGTGTGATATAAATAGTTTATTTACATTACAGAAAAAACATCAAGACAATGTATACTATTTCAAATATATCCATACATAATCAAATATAGCTGTAGTACATGTTTTCATTGGTGTAGATTTCCACAAACGCAAGGCAACATGTGTAGATCTCGTCTTATTCTTTTGTCTCTAATACTGTACTGTGTAGTCCAAGCTGTCGGTTGTCCGGCCACTGGGAAACATGCTCCCTCTAGATTAACCTTGTGGACGCTCTTGTTGTGTTGTCTGAACTGTAGTGCCCTGTATTTTGCTTCTGTCTGTGAATTCTGTTGCTTCTGGGGCATTTCCTAGAAGGTTGGAAAGTTTACAGATCTTAGTCTAATGCGATTATCTAAAGTTTGCTCCTACAGTCAAAGACTGAAGCTCTAGATGAAGCAAATTACTAAAGTATTTCAGAGCAGAAAACTGAGTACCAGTAGAAGGTTGGATTGCTTGCATACATTATTGTTATTATTATTATTATTATTATTATTATTATTAGCTTCTCCTTGCAGTTGTCTTTAGGATTCTGTTGAGAACTGAAGAACAGAAGTTGAAGAGAAGCACTTTTACCTTGCCCTTTACTGTTCATTCCTTACGTCTGCTCATTATAGTGTGCGATAAACAGACTCAGCACAATGCAAACAAGCCAGTCACCAGCTTATTACAGCTCACTTTAAAGGTCTTCAACAATTTTATATCTAAATGTCTTAATGATGAGTGCTATATCAACATTTCAATGCTGAAGTTAAGATTCTATCGCAGAACAAACCAACTGATCATATCCAAATGTAAGTGCAAAAGAATATTGCTTTGGTTTATCTTAATATCATTGTTTTGCATTAATGTTATAAAGCTAGAGACAGAAATTGGCACCAATTATGGTGCTTCTATGAAAATCTAGTATTTGGTCATATTATCTGAAAATGTCTGATGTAATCTTTTTATCATAATAAGAGATTTCTTTGATAATGCAAGCAAGAACAATATTAAGGTAACATAAAATTGTATTACAACTAAGGTGGTACAGTAAAAAATATGTCTATGAACATACATACACATGCCCACATATACAGAGTAGGTATGGGCACATTTTTGTGTAGTTGCTGTGGCCGATATATCTGTCCAAAACAAACATGGATCTATAAAGTGACATTCTTAGCAAGGGAGAGTTGGAGGTCAAAAGATGAAAATCCAACTTTTTAATGGGATAACTCTTCATTTTGTAGCATGTCCCCAGGTATTAATATTTTATGAGATATTGCTCATGAGGCAGGTTCTTGGATAGACAGGAAAAAAAAAAGAAGAAACAAATTCAGGTAGAAATGGATAGAACAGAAAAGAAAGGAAAGAAAGAATAGAGAAAAGAACTGGTGAGACCAACAGTAAGAGAAAATTGAAGAGAATGAGGAATCTATGCTAGGAATAATTCTGTAAATTGTCCAGCATCTGGGTATTTTGGATCTCAACAAATAAAGGCTTGCCAGCTCACCAAGAAAGCAGGGTCTTGGAGGTCAGAGGTGGGCCTACATGGGGAGTCTGGTTTGCAAGCACACTGTTTTTGAATGAATGCATGAAGCGAATCTTCCCTGGATACTGGCATTGTGCATAGATTAATGCTTTTCCTGGACAGTGTTTTGAAAGTTTACCTGTACAAGGGGGATATTTATATAATGCATCATGTCAATGCTAACACGTTTGCTGAGCCATTTCTCTTCCCCTAAAGCAGATAATCAGTTTTGTTTAGTTTAACATAAAAAGTAAAAGTAAAAAAAAAAAAAAAAAAAAGCCATGCACCTTGAAAATAGAGCAGACATAACTAACTCAAACTGGGAGCTTAGCACAGGTAGTCAGTGGCAGAAGAGCACACAAAGTTATAAGCAGGTAGGAGCAGAGGAGCCGGGTTAAATGCATAGCTACGTCAGTTGACCGACTGGACACCATTTTGGTTTCATTACTCAGCTATGTGATCTCAATATTTGATAACACCTCCTATTTCAGGATCTCCACCATGAAAGTGAGGATAACTGCTATTTTTTTTTGTAATGTTGTAAAGCATGTATAGATGTGTTTGTGCATTCAAGCAAGTGAATATATAAAGATATGACACAATTATAACAAACATACAATCGCTGGTAAAATAGTCTATTTTCTAAATTATATACGGGAATAAAAATGTGGTTAATGATTTATTTGAAGGCATGGTCTGAAGTATTGAAATTTTGGCTTTGACTATATGGAACAGTAATCAAGTTTTTTTTTATCAATATAAATATGAATTTTATTTTTCTATTTGTCCTTAGAGAAGTATGGTACACTTTTCTGTGTCTTAGATTCTTCTCTGTCTTTCCTTTTTTATGCTCAGTATTTTTGGTTTACAAGTTGTTTTTAAGTTCCCTGTATTTATTTTCATATAATCCATTGGCTCACTCAGCATCTAAACATGAGAGTCTAGTTGACAGAATCCACTTGGCTTGGGGCAGCACAAGCTCCAAAGATGATCTTCCCCTATGCCTCTGGGCCAGGTGAGGATGTACGAGTCACAGTTTGTCTTTTTCAAGAGCAGATCTTATCTTTAAAGAAGATAGTGTAATACAGATACCAGGAGACATTACAGTCTTTGTGTTTTAATTTCATAATTCTTCTTATTTTCTATATTTTTTTAGAAATAAAAATCTAGGGGGAAAGTCTCTGGTTTACTGTAGAACTATAGAAATATATGAAAGTTCAAATGTCTCATGGCTTTGATAAAAACCTAGAGCTTCTTTTGAATTTTTAAAAAGAGAGCTAATCCAATTTCTTTAGAAAAGGATCTGTGTTGGATTTTTGCCTGTCACAGGCATGAATGATCCATTGCATTCAGAGTCTGGTTACTGTCCAGCATGTGCTTGCACACTCAAGAGGTCAAATGAGGCTTTGCTCCTCTCCTCAATCTGACACCACTCTGGAGTCGTGGTTTGATTTCCTGTTGAAACTAGAAACTCTGTTCTCTTTCTGTCTGATCCCTGCTCAAGTAAAGATTACCTTTTGCAGGGGGGGAGGGGCTGGAAATTTGCAATTAAGGTGTGATATTTATTGCCTGTTTTGGAAATACATGAAGGGTTTTCATTTACTACAGAACAATTTTTGCCATTGCACTTAAAATACTGTGATGAGCACTTACCGTCTTAAAGTTAAAAAGTGTTGTTGACGCCAAGTGTGCTAACACTGGTGGTATCTGAAAGTTCTACTTGGAAATTTAAGTGTTACTAATAAGAGCTAGAGTTTGAGCACATTTTTAGACATTATATATTAGACGTTATCTGTTATCACATTTGGAGTAGTGATTTCAGCAGGTAAAGCTACACTGGTTCATAGAACTTTTTTTTTCTCCATTTATCTGTAAACAGCCAAAGTGTTTTAACAGAGGTTGACATATGAAAGAGAGGAAGATAATCTTATGGCATAAATAGTTAGGAAAACCCATGCCTTTCCACTTGGCTATTCACAGGTTCTCACGATGTGGAGCTAGGACTCATAGAGGAGATGGCTCAGCCAGTCCACCAAAAGCCTCAGTCAGAGGGAGTACCAGCTGCCCTTGGATTGGGTGGTCCCCAAGTCCAGTTACTGACCTTGTGATGCAGAGAACCACCACACAGATGACAGCAATCTGAATTGTTCCAATCACAGCTGCAATCAAGACATACTGGAATCGGACAGGGCCAGGGACCACATAGAGAACACTGTAGTCTTTCTTTTCACAGTGTTGACCAGTATAACCCGCATCACATCTGGAAGAAAAACAACAGCTGGTCACTTGTAACCCAGAAACTCTGTTTCTTTAACCTAAAGTAACGTGTTTACTTATTCCTTAATAACACAGGGTAAAAAAAAAAGTCTGTATGTTTTAGACATTTTCTTTAAGAATTTTCCATTGTTAGAGAAATGCTGAAATATATTAGAATGAAGGATACCACAAAAGAAATTCCTTAAATTTGTTGGCCATAAAGTCATTAGTTTTAAAGAGAGATTTTTTTTTTCAGAAAAATTATGGTACAGATAAGACAAGTGTACAAACCAAGCTACTGTGTGAGCCTGTTTGGAGAATAAATTCTGTTTCCCACTCAATCAACCTCCCATCCAAAAATTCAGAACATATTGAAATGAGCTTTGATATGAAAATTTATGAAACTGGATCAATATGTCACTGCTTTGTGGAAAGCTCCTAATACTTGACTTTGCAGCTCTTGTCACTACATCCTGAGGAGTTTCCTGTGGGCATCCACAGGGTTTAATTTAACTGCTGAGGAGGGAGCAACAGAGCTCTCTCTGTGTCACTCTGCTTGTTGAAAAAAATAGTCAGGTACCAGTGTATTCTGTGAGAGAAAGTGGGTAGAGAAGACAGCTGTAGATAAAAGGACAGAGACAGACAGAGAGAAGGAGAGATAATGCTGTTTCTACATATTTCTATATCATAATCAATTTATCATATGCCAGTTGTATATTAATTTAAATATATATATATACACATTTTCATTTTGATTTGCCAACACTGCATGTTCTAGACATGAACACTTAGCAGATATTTATAAACTAAAGCCAGACAAGCAATTTCTTTGTGTCTCTACTGAGTTTGAAACTTGAGGTATGGCCAATCATCTCCTGACAGCAAACTCTACAGACAAGAGAGGAGTTCCCAGCAGAGCCATGGCTGTGATATGCCGTAGATCTGGAGAATTTGGGGAATGATAACCTCTTCAAAGCAGCATTCATGGACTTGGGAGAAGTGTCAAGCACAGCTCTGCATTCAGACTAAAGAATGGTAAATAAAAGTGGTGTGCTACACAGTTAGTGTACAAGGTGTACACATCTCCTGGTTACTCTGTGTGTGTGTGTGTGTGTGTGTGTGTGCTCGCACATGCATATGAGTGTGTGTGTAGGAGAGGCAGACATTTGATGCCACTCCTTCAGTTAAGCAGAGTGCAAACCAATCTTCCACCAACACTTCAAGGCTAGCGTCTACATTTTTACTTTATGCTCCTTAAAAGTTTAAGAAAAGAAATGTTACCTGCAAGATGGCTCCTGCATGTTGATGGAGTGTTCACACTTCCCGTGCATACAGAAGCCGTTGTAATGTTCCGGACAAGGGATGTGGTGTTCTCTGGCACTTTCTTCTAATTTGTTAGCATTCTCTGTGGATACAGATAAAAGCAAGCACTCCCTGTAAATACCTTCAAGCTGGGTAAGATCAACCACTGCATTAACAAGCAAAGCTACAGCAGGAAAAGCTATTTAAAAGGGCAGGAACTGAGAGGCCATGCTTCAGAAGAAAGACAGACATCCTTACAATTATGCTTAGAGATGAAACTGCAAAATTACCCAGTGCTTTTCATGCTTTTATGCAATTTCTACATCTTTAACAGCCACTGATGTGCCCAGGAGTTGTCAGACAGCTTTAATTTTGCTTGCATGGAGACTGTACCTTGATTATAAAATAATCCAAGAAGAAATCATATATATATATATATATTGAATTTCAAAGTCCAGCATAACGTCTCTGAGAGCAATTTACTGAAATACCTTCAGACTTTCTCAACATGAGGGTTTAAAAGTTAAAAGATGGCTGTATTAATTGTTAAACATTTTCCAAATCACCTGCAAATTTCAACAAGTACATTCTGTCATATGGTTTTATGATGCACTGTGAGTATGAGGGTTTTTGTTGCTGTATTTTTTATTTTTTTCTAGCATCCATACATTTTTTTTTAAATTGCCACAATGACACAACTGAAAAAGTAAAGATTGTCTTAGGATCACTTATATGGATAGCCACAGAGTACATGCTGAATGCTCTCAGTTTGTTTTAATGCGTACAATCAGCCCATGTTAGGAATGATTTGTAAAATTTAAACTTAAGGAAAATAAAACACCTTATATTCTAAAATGAACCACTTCCACTGTAATTAGCAGGTTTTGTTTTTCTAATGTTTTTATAAAAATTGTGTCTTCAGGCTTCTGTTTGCTCAGACATGTTGACTTCACATTTTTAATACCATCTCCAAGCAAGAGGTCGCTCAATTCTTTTTATAGCTATGAAGGTCTGGGCTGGAGAGATAGCTCAGGGGCTTACATCATCAATGTAAAAAGCTAGGAGTGGCCAGGAGTGGTCTGTAGTGCTTGTGCTGTCAGGGTGGGGTGGAGACACAGGATTGCTAGGCTCATAGGCTGCCCCTTCTACTCTATGTTCAATGAGAGACTCTGACTCAAAGAAATGAGACAGTGATAGCATAGGATGCATAATAGTCCCTTCTGCAAGACACAAACACAGACAAACACACAAACACACAGACACACATACAGATTTTGTCTTTATTGTCTCTTCTGAAATCTGATATCTATGAAGATTCCTGCCTAGATAATGATAAAGATAACTTTATCAACCTCAATCTGAAGGTGTTTTTCAATCTACAAGTATTCCTCAGCACCATCGTGACTGGTCAGCAGTTATGAAAGATTGCAAGTTAACTGCTGTTTTTATGGAATGGATTACTTCTTATTATCTCTACACAGGGGCACTGTGTTTTAGTATAGTGTATCCTTATAATTTCCACTGGCAGTCATGGATGATGAGCATATTCATCAGGAGAAGGATGTGCCTTTGCCATTCATGAATTAGATGGATATATTATTTATATTTAGGCAGAGCTGTAAAATATCTTTCTATACATTTTAACATCTGCAAATCATTACAGTTTGAAGCAAACTGTTAAAATATTTAGTGCTTTCTTTTGTAGGGATATTTATGTATATTGCTCTGATGGGTAGCATTTCAACTTTTATCCCTAAATTTATAAGGTGTATACTGTAGTGATGGCAGAGAGATGACAGGTGACCACGCAGCCCTTCATTTGTTTTATGTCTGTGTCAATACTGCTATGTTGTGGTCGGTGATCTTTTGCGAAAAGATATTTCTACCTTGAAAATTTTCATTAAAGTCCATGAACTATTTCCATAGAAGAGACTGTGTGGATATGTGAACTGTTTTGGTTTTTCCCATAGGTATTGTATACATTTTTTGTAGCAAATTATATCCATAGTAAGGACACACAAGAAAAAGTACATAGTGTTGAGTAAAATCTGAACAAAATGCGATCAGGGTAGCAATAGTATTTAGATGTACCTTGTAATGATCTCGTTATTCAAGAATCCATGGAGAAAAGGGGACATATTTTGTGCTGGGTCCAGGTGGCAGCAGCTGCAGTAGCCAGCCCATGTGCTCGCTCTTTAAAGAGGATTTTTGAAGCACTGGGGGTTTCAGGCCCACTGCTCATGAAATGAGCCAGCACTGATTTCCACTCTTATTTCTGTATCTTCTTCACATAACAAACTATTCAACACTTCTCTTTAGTGTTCGTTAGTAACACCTCAGCGCTCTGCACACCTGTGTGTGGGGAGCTTCTCTCTGACTTCCCTGCGTCCCAGCTACACATGGCCTTTTCTGTCAGACTCTCTCTCATCTTATTAAAGGACTAGTTTTCTTTCTGTTAACAGTAGAAGAAAACCATGTATTTTCAAAACTCAAACCCCATTCTCAAGGATATTGTACCTCACCCCAAAACTGACAGCTTCTGTGTTCGAATAATGTCCACAATCATCAGCTGAAGTCCAAGTGCTAAATGGGAGCTTGTTTGAATGAAGGTATTGCCTTGGTGTGCAAAGAGCTAGATTTCCCCTGTTTTCTGTCTAAGCAGAATGGTAATGTGGGAAGGGAGTAGTCTCCATCATATAAATCTGCTAATTAGTTTATGCCAGTCCTTGTGAGCTTAGAGTGCTCTGTTTTGCTGCTCATGTGATACTGTCAAATAAGAAAGTAGAGAACTGGAAAATAAATGAGTAGACGAAATGCTCCCTGGGCAAGAAAATGAGGAGTCATCAATATATGTCAACAAATTTATAGTCAATCCCACCAAGTAAAGCACTTGATTGAAAACCTGAATATACATCCACTTCTAATGATGCAATAGGCCTGCTTTAGAGATGAGATTTAAGCATATTAAGACCAGCAGAAACACAAAAATCTAATATCTCAAACAAATGTATGTATGAGTCATGGTAAATGTTTGTGAACCTGAAGTTTGTGTACACTGGATATTCAAGCAACAGTAAAGCATTTGAGGATTTGAAATTATATAAATATACTTTGGGAGTATGCATCTTTCTACTAGTGGCTGACAGCTTAGAATTGACTCTCTCTCCTAATAAGGCACGACTCTGGTGCAAACACTTCATGTCTCTCTTAAAAATTTGCACCCAATTTCTGCATAAATGTTTCCACATGGTTTCTTCAGAAAGAGGACTTGACTTTCTAAAAGGCGGCCTCTGGTACACCTTGAGTTATCTGGAGCGGAGCTAATATACCCACAAACCCATTGCTAGTCAGCAGTTGAGAAGAAATGCTGAGGAAGGCTGTTCTTTAGCACAGTTACACATACTGGTGTTTGCAAGGCAAGACAGACATGGCAAACCAAAAAGACAGGGAGAATGGCCCAGGGACAGCCATGTCTTATTTCAGGTCACACTGAGGTGGGTAGAAGGGGAACAGAGTCAAGCTGAGTGGTACAGACTCAAGTCAATGCTGTTCAGAGTGGGGTGTGTTTGTGTATTCTTTTTGTTCCATGCTCTTCTCCAGCTCAAACTGGAAACACATATTTGGATAACTCATCTGTTAAAGCAAGATATTATTGTTCAAGGCAGAAATACTACACTGTGAAATCTGACTAAAACACCCATGTTTCTGAAGAACGAATGCCCTTCTGTGGGTAAGGACTAGAGACTGGCCAAGGAGATGTTGAAAATCAAGTCCTGCCACCTGCGCATATGCTCTCCAGGGTTGTTTGTCCTGAAAAAGTAACTTGAAACAGAAAACTAAGAGTCCCAGTTACAGAGACAGGTATGGCACTCTGTTCATGTATGATGCTCTTAAACATTTGCTAGCCAATCTGTTTCTCTTGTTCTCATGCTCTACTCTGATTTTTTGACATCTATGCAGCCTCCAAAGAAGAAGCAGCTCTGAAAGTACAGACTGAAAATATAATCTACCAGATAGTTACATATCTTGTTTGAATTAAGTGGCACAGAATTTCTGGTTGTTTTCCTTTGGGAGTGTACAACTCCTCTTCTTTAGCTCATTAGCTGTGGGCATTGTAAGATCAAATTTGAATGGGTCAAATATCTATCTTAAAGGATGGAAGATCAGTCACTGTGTAATAGTTTGGGATCCCTTTGGGGAGATAAAATGCATAAATGACCAGATGATATTTTAAGTACTATTCCACTGTTGGCTAATTTTATGTCAATTTGACGTAAGTTAGCGTCATCTGACAGAAGGGAACCCCAACTGAGATAATGTATCCGTAAGATCCAATAACTAATTATTGGTTGATGGGGGAAGACCCAGCCCATGGTGGTGATGCCATCTCTGGGCAGGTGGTCCTGGTTCTATGAGAAAGCAGGCTGAGCATGCCATAGAAAGCAAGCTAGTAAGCATCACCCTTCCTGGGCCTCTACTCCTGCCTTCAGGTTCCTGCCCTGTTTGAGTTCCTGCCTTGACTTTCCACAGTGATGGACTATTACCTGGAAACATAAACTGAATTAAACCCTTTTTTCCCAAGTTGTTATGGTCATGGTGGTGTTTCATCACAGCAATTGGAACGTTAGCTAGGACACCCACCTTGCTTTAATCAGGCAGCTTTTCTTTCAAATAAATCAAATCTGTGGGCCAATCAGTTCCTAAAAGGGAACTGATTTTGTGCAGGTGATTTAGAATAAGTTGGAAAGGTCCTCAGGATGAGAGAGCATCATGAACTTAGTGCCTGTTAAAGCATCTTACAGGAAGGCAGACCCCGCTCACTATGGTATTCTACAGCTGTTTCTTTGGCAACTGTGAGTATGTGAAAGCAGTGAGCCTCTGGAGTTATAAAGACGAAGCTGCGCTGCCTTTGCCAGAGGCTAAAGCATGCTGCTACTGTATGCTGGGCTATATTACTTCATTCTTCTTGATTCTTTGAACTCTTAAAATAATTTTTTTTTTTTTGCTAGTATGTAAGGTTTTTTTGTTTGTTTGTTTTTTTGTTTTTTTTTTTTTTTTTTTTTAGATAGGTTTCTCCATGTAGCTATCTATGGCTGTCCTGAA